TTAGGAGAGCGCCCTAGCATGTAGGGTACAAAACAACTACTTTATGCACTAGCGTCCTTTCCCTTGCCTCCCCTGTCCCTAGCTCAGCCTCCTTCTTCTTCTACCGCCCCAAGCTATTTTTCCTGCCGCCTCTCCTCAGTCTCCCATTCCCTTTATCCCTCAGCAAGCTATATTATAAAGTTTGCCTCAGACGGTACTGCACGCCTAACACTGTGCGCGCGCATGCGCAATATCTCCCGAGAGACCAAAATTGGATTTTGCAAATATTATGGATTTAAAATGAAGAGCAGTTATCTTAGCATAGATTTATATGACAACATTCTATCAGTAGACATAATTTATGAAATAGGAGGAAGACCTTGCATGTAAGGTCCCGGCTGCGTATACCAGCCAGTAAACAATCTGGCTACGTTAGTGTGTTAGCGCATGCCCAATATCTCACCAGAGGAGTTATATTTGACTGCAGGAATCGCGGCGACACGTGCACCTACTCATAACAGCTTTTTATTACTAATGATTTCACGAGTTATAGTAATAGATATTCTATAATTATCCTCTATAACGCTATTATAAGCTTCTATAACGCTCCTGATAATTTTATGGAACGGAATAACACAGTGGCGTCACCTGACGGATGAATACGTTCGGTTTTCAATTTAGATATTGCAGCGTTATACTAGACTGCGGAGATCGCGGCTGCACAACTGGTGGTTACACACAAACTGTTAGTATATAGAGATCAAGTGGTCTCTGGTCGTGAAGTTTAACATGTTAGCTTACAGCATCCCGAGCAAAGATTTAAATGATAACATTTCATCAGTAGATCTCGCTTAAGAGATAGGAAGAAGATTTTTCATGTAAGGTCCCTGCTGCCTATACCTGTCAGTACAAAATCTGGATACGTTAGTGTGTTAGCGCATGCGCAATATGTCACCAGAGGAGTTATATTTTGTGATGAATATGCATTTAAAATGGTTAGGGGGTATCTCAGCATAGATTTCCCTAATAAACTTTTATCAGTAGACCTGTGTTTATAATTAGGAGAGCGCCCTAGAATGTAGGGTACAAAACAGCTACTTTATGCCCTCGCGTCCATTCCCTTGCCTCCCCTGTCCCTCGCTCAGCCTCCTTCTTCCTCTACCGCCGCCAGCTATCTTTCCTGCCGCCTTTCCTCAGTCTCCCGTCCCTCTCTCCTTCAGCAAGCTATAATATTACGAAGTTGGCCTCAGACGGCACTGCACGCCTAACACGGTGCGCGCGCTTGCGCAATATCTTCCGAGAAAATTCGTATTTTGCAAAGATTATGCATTTAAAATGAAGAGCAGTTATCCTATCATAGATTTATGTTATAACATTCCATCAGTAGACATCATTTAAAAAATAGGAAGAAGACCTTGCATGTAAGGTCCCGGCTGCGTATACCAGCCAGTACACAATCGGGCTACGTTAGTGTGTTAGCGCATGCGCAATATCTCACCAGAGGAGTTATATTTTGTGATGAATATGCATTTCAAATAGTGAGGGGGTATCCCAGCAGAGATTTCCCTAATAATCTTTTATCAGCAGACCTGTGTTTATAATTAGGAGAGCGCCCTAGCATGTAGGGTACAAAACAACTACTTTATGCCCTAGCGTTCTTTCCCTTGCCTCCCCTGTCCCTAGCTCAGCCTCCTTCTTCTTCTACCGCCCCAAGCTATTTTCCCTGCCGCCTTTCTTCAGTCTCCCATTCCCTTTCTCCCTCAGCCAGCTATATTATAAAGTTTGCCTCAGACGGCACTGCACGCCTAACACGGTGCGCGCGCATGCGCAATATCTCCCAAGAGAAATCGGATTTTGCAAATGTTATTGATTTAAAATGAAGAGGAGTTATCCTAGCATAGATTTATATAATAACATTCCATCAGTAGACATCATTTAAGAAATAGGAGGAAGACCTTGCATGTAAGGTGCCGGCTGCGTATACCAGCCAGTACACAATGTGGCTACGTTAGTGTGTTAGCGCATGCGCAATATCTCACCAGAGGAGTTATAGTTTGTGATGAATATGCATGTAAAATAGTTAGGAGGTATCTCAGCATAGATTTCCCTAATAAACGTTTATCAGTAGACCTGTCTTTATAATTAGGAGAGCGCCCTAGCATGTAGGATACAAAACATCTACTTTATGCCATCGCGTCCTTCCCCTTGCCTCCCCTGTCGCTCGCTCAGCCTCCTTCTACTTCTACCGCCCCAACTATCTTTCCTGCGGCCTCTCCTCAGTCTCCCATCCCCTCTCTCCTTCAGCAAGCTATATTATAAAGTTTGCCTCAGACGGCACTGCACGCCTAACACGGTGCGCGCGCATGCGCAATATCTCCAGAGAGAATTCGTATTTTAAATCATGCATTTAATATAAAGAGGAGTTATCCTAGCACAAATATATATAATAACATTTCGTCAGTAGACATCATTTAAGAAATAGGAGGAAGACCTTGCATGTAAGGTCTTGGCTGCGTATACCAGCCAGTACACAATCTGGCTACGTTATTGTGTTAGCGCATGCGCAATATCTTACCAGAGAAGTTATATTTTGTGATGAATATGCATTTAAAATGGTTAGGAGGTATCTCAGCATAGATTTCTCCAATAAACTTTTTATCAGTAGACCTATGTTTATAATTAGGAGAGCGTCCTAGCATGTAGGGTACAAAACACCTACTTAATGCCACCGCGTCTTTCCCCTTGCCTCTCCTACCTCTCGCTCAGCCTCCTTCTTCTTCTACCGCCCCCAGCTATCTTTCCTGCCGCCTTTCCTCAGTCTCCCGTCCCTCTCTTCCTCAGCAAGCTATATTACGAAGTTTGCCTCAGACGGCACTGCACGCCTAACACGGTGCGCGCGCATGCGCAATATCTTCCGAGAGAATTCGTATTTTACAAAGATTATGCATTTAAAATGAAGAGCAGTTATCCTATCATAGATTTATGTTATAACATTCCATCTGTAGACATCATTTAAGAAATAGGAGGAAGACCTTGTATGTAAGGTCCCGGCTGCGTATACCAGCCAGTACACAATCGGGCTACGTTAGTGTGTTAGCGCATGCGCACTAGCCAGTAAGGTGCAAAACTCAGGACTATTCATCACCTCCCGTCCTCATACTTGGCTTCCGTCTTCCTCGCTCAGCTTCCTCCTTCGTCTACCGCCGTCAGCGATCTTTCCTGCCGACTTTTCTCATTCTCCCACCCCCCTCTCCCTCTCAGCAAGCTACATTATGCAGGTTTCTGCAGTCCGTACTACACGCCTGAAATGGTGCTCGCGTATGCGCATTATATTCCGAGAAGAAAAAGAATTTGCAAAAATTATGCAATTATTATGAAGAGGGACTATCCAAGCATAGATTTGTATAATACCATTTTATCAGTAGCTCTCACTTAAGAGATAGAAAGAACACTTTTCATCTTAGGTCCCTGCTGCCTATACCTGTCAGTACAAAATCTGGCTACGTTAGTGTGTTGGCACATGCGCTATATCTCACCAGAGGAGTTATTTTTTGAGGGAATTATCCATTTAATATGGTTAGGGTGTATTCCAGAATATATTTCTGTAATAAATTATTATCAGTATACCTGTGTTTATAATTAAGAGAGCGCCCTAGCCTAACTTCTTCTTCATCCCCTCCTTCCTCCCCATTGCCGCCACTGTCCCTCAGCCCAGCCCGTTAAACGTGTTAAACAGATATATAATCTGCCACGAAATGGCAGCAATACACTCTTCTACAAAACGTGCGGTTACACGTTTCCATTTCCACTTCCTTTCCCGCCTACACTATATTTTAATATTTGGGTGATTGTTTATCAATAATTTATCGTTTGATTGCGCGATCGTATTGATTAGCTGATCACATTTGAAGCTATAAGCGTGCGCAACAAATACACCGCGAGTTTAAAATTTTCTTTGCATTAAAATCAAAATACATTTCAGGGATTAGCGCTGATACGGACCTGCACTTTGGTCCGGTCTGTTTGCTCTCATCACAGCGTGACACACCCTGTACACGATTCTTCTAATCCTAACACGTCATTGCACGAGTTTTTTTGTATATGTGAATTGCCGGCCTTGGCTGGATCATATATACCTACTTTGCTATAAGTAAAATATTTACGTGCCAAAATAAAATAATTAAATTTCGTTATTTTCGCATATGCATGAGCTCTAATGCTATAGGTTATAACGCAGAGCGAGTGCATGCTATGACGTGTTAGGTAAATGCGTTATCGTCGCCCTCGTGTAAACATGGGTGGAGAGAAACCAAACAAGGCACAGTACTCGTTTGTTTTTGCGTGACGTTGCAGTACACGCACACACCTTCTAGGAAGTAGTGAATAATGAAATAACGCGCCGCAGAATCAAATGTTGCAGACTTTGACTCTCTCGCATCGTGTCGTCATCACTATTCATCTAGAAAGAGCAAGCATAGAAACAAGAGACAAGTACAACACGCATTCATTGCCTACGGGTCATATCAACTATATGTTGTGAAACGTCACGGGATTTAAGGTAAACATAAGGCTAACGTAATCGCTTAGATACATATGATCGGCAGTACCGGAATATGTGTGTGATTCTTTGAATTTTTATTCATAGTTATAAAGCTGCAACATTGAGGGCTTATGCCGTATACCAATCATATCGCATAATGTACGCAAGCGGATATTGGTCCAAGTATATATAGTGACGTGTACAGTGCAAACCAAACAGTATTAATCAAATAAGAACAAGGTATGTGTTTCGCAGTATGCATACCTGTATGCTGGATGGAAAGTTAAGGTGAACAACATTTGAACAGCTAGTGGACGTCGAACGATCAGAAAACGAGTGAGCGAGTTGATTTCGTGTACTTTCCAGACTCAAAGTGGAACGCTTGTGAACGCTTCAGTGTTATTGTATATATATATATTTCACAGAACCCTTATCGAACCAAATTTCCGATTGGCGCTATGCGGATCAAAACATTGCTATGTTGTCTGGCTGTGGTTGTTATGGGACTGGTTGGCCCAGCGCAGTCTGATACTCGATCAGTTAGCTCCAATGTAACGATACCATGGGCGGGAGAACTACCCCAACCAAAACCTTACATAACATACAACAACTACGAGCCTGGAGGATTAAAGGGGCTCTACACAATGGCACGAGGTTGGGCCGGGCTGGTCTCAAAGGAACTCCAATCTGGTGGGTATATATGATAGATTTGCGTTGCTGTAAATGAAAGAAGAATTATTCTACAACTATTCTGATTGAGAACGCATCGCTGGCTGTTGCGTGGTCTATTATTAACTGTTTAGAGTTTATACTTAATTTTTAGGTTTATTATTAAATGTTTTGGTTTATATATATATTAAGTCTGAGGTTTATACATTAATGTTTAGAGTTTCTTTTACTGTTTAGAGTTTCTATATTAATGTTTAGGTTTTATATAATGTTTAGAGTTTATTATTAATGTTTAGGTTTATGATTTATGTTTAGAGTTTATACATTAAATGTTTAGGTTTAGACATTAAATGTTAGATTATCTTTAATGTTATAGTTGTTATTAAATGTTGGGGCGTTATATATTATTAATGGTTTGATTTTACATTAAATGTTTCGGTTTATTTATTATAAAGGTTTAGGTTTATACATTAATGTTTGGTTTATTATTGAATGTTAGAGTTGTATACATTTTGTTTAGCGAAATTTATATATTAAATGTTTAGAGTTTATACTTAAATGTTTAGGGTTTATATTAAATGTTAGATTTATTATTTAAATGTTTAGAGGTTTATACATTATGTTTAGGTTTTATATTAAATGTTTAGGAGTTGTATATTCAATGTTTGAGTTTTACTTAAATGTTTAGGTTTATACATTAATGTTTGAGGTTTTATGATTAACTTGTTAGAGCTTCTATTATGAAATGTTTAGAGTTTATACATTAAATGTTTAGAGTTTATATATTAAATGTTTAGAGTTTATATATTAAGGGTTAACGATGCGTAGCAAACATGTTGCAAGAGAACGTTATTCAACACTTATGTCTAACATATCGTATCTTGTAATATCGCTGCTCAGACATGATCCTCGATTATGCAGAGACTTATGATGATTACGACGCTCAAGAGATCATATATGAGGTTAGTATACACGGCGTTATTTGCTTCATTTCCATTTAACTAATCTTACATTAACGAACCCAGATAGTTACATGATACATTATATAAGCTCATAACATACTCAATTTTTTCATTTATTTAGGTAAAAGATTGTACATTCCATATGCTTAATTATTTTACGAGCGCATAATTCTCTAATATAACTCATATTTACTTCAAAAAAAAATATTGCCGAATACGCACGCTCGTACACACCAAACAATCCCACGCACCACCACACGCACAAACACACACCAACACCCCAACACAACACACCTACCTACACACAGGCACGCACACCACACACACACACACACACACACACATACACACGCGCGCGCGCCAGTAGCATGATATATTATATGTATATGTGTGTGTATTTCCTGCAGAGTATCGCGTTTTCTATTGGCATCGTCATCTGTGTCGTGATCGGCATACTCTTCTGTGTTGCAATGCCAATCAGTGGCATCTTCTTCTGCTGCTGTCGCTGCTGCGGCTGCGGCTGCTGCGGGGGCAATGAAACACAGACCACGAAAGAGGCGGAGGGAGGAGGGCGAGCCTGCCTACAGGTGACCGTCTTCTGTACACTGGCACTTCTGTTGTAAGTATATTACTTCTACTATACTAAGTATATATCTAGCTTCGCATAGAGCCACCTATTGGCAGAATTTGACTGTTTCGGAAAGGGGTTAAAATTCCACTTTTCAAAAGCCTATTACAGAATAAAGTGTTTTTGGATGAACATTGGTGATTTATTATCAGGATAATGTATTTATTTAACTTGTACGCATATTTAGACTCGGTTCCATGAGGTGACAAACGAAAGTCATTTTCTTGACTGATTTTTTCCATCTCGCCCCATGGCAAACCGCGCCCGATCCTAGAGAGCATTCAGTGTGCAGCTGTTGTGTCCGTGATTATTGTATACCGAGAAAATGTTTATCGAAGACCCCTTATTCACTCTGCGATATTCCCATTTGCTATCGCCAAGTGTTTATTTCGTGGGCTTTAGTGCACTTCCAATTGCAGGCTGTCAATAGAACGGGCGGACTTGTGGATACATAGACAAATGATTCATAACTTCATCGTGAGGTTTATCACGAAGGACCGCATGAATGTTTGTTTAACAGGAGCGGTGGAGTTTGCTTAGCCATAAATAACGAACGAATAAAAGACGTATGGAATGACGTAGAGACATCAATTGATACGAACTTTGACGACCTCCGGGAACTATTTGATGTTACCGTGAAGGTAAATACCAGATACAGCGTAAAGCTCTTGGACGTTGCGTAACCAAAGAATGATTACTGCACCGGGGTAGTTCGGCGAGCTAGCAAACAATTCAAAGGATTTGGAACGATTAAAAATGGCTGTCGAGTAATAACGATCAACTTATATATGGGGAATCTTCATGGCATACTATCGCGCGCAACGTCAAGATAATCAATAAAATATATATTGTGATAAATGAGGCATCTAATTTATTAACAGGATGTAAAACACGTATCAATCCGATATAAGCATGTGACTTCATAGGCATTTATCTGTCATGTTGCAGCAATTGGAGTACACTGGGAAAGATGACTTCCGGTTGATGATGAAAATGATTACGGACGACATTGATGGTCAGTTTTATCATGAACCGCGACAGTAGTAGCGACATTTGGTAGCGGCGTTGGTAGCAGACTATAGTACTATAGTACGGTCATTACCTTCTTAATACCAAGTACAATGGATATATTTATACATTAGATAAAAAATACACATACAATATGCAATACATGTGCAACACAGTATATATATATATATATGTATGTGTGCGCGTGTGCGTGTGCGTGTGCGTGTGCGTGTGTCACCAGAGGAGTTATATTTTGTGATGAATATGCATTTAACATGGTTAGGGGGTATCTCAGCATAGATTTCCCTAATAAACTTTTATCAGTAGACCTGTGTTTATAATTAGGAGAGCGCCCTAGCATGTAGGGTACAAAACGCCTACTTTATGCATGCCCTCGCGTCCTTCCCCTTACCTCCCCTGTTCCTCTCTCAGCCTCCTTCTTCTTCAACCGCCCCAGCTATCTTCCCTGCCGCCTTTTCTCATTCTACCCGCCTCCCCCCTCTCTCTCTCCCTCACACACACGGCAATCTATATTATCCAGGCTTCTTTAGTCCGTACGACACGCCTGCAGCGGTGTTCGCGCATGCGCATTATCTCCCGGGAAAAAAAATATTTTGAAAAATTATGCGATCAAAATGAAGAGGAACTATCCTAGCATAAATTTGAATAGCATTTTATCAGTAGATTTCATTTAAGAATTAGAAAGAAGATATTTCATGTAATGTCCCTGCCGCCTATACCTGTCAGTACACAATCTGGCTACGTTAGTGTGTTAGCGCACGGGAAATATTTTACCAGAAGAGTTATATTTTGTAGCAAATATTATGTATTTAATATGGTTAAGGGGTATCCCAGCCTAGATTCCTGTAATAAATTATTATCCGTAGACCTGTGTTCATAATTAGGAGAGTGCCCTAGCCGGTAAGGTGCAAAACTCAGGACTACTTCATCACCTCCCGTCCTCATACTTGGCTTCCGTCTTCCTCGCTCAGCTTCCTCCTTCGTCTACCGCCGTCAGCGATCTTTCCTGTCGCCTTTTCTTATTCTCCCACCCCCTCTCCCTCTCAACAAGCTTTATTATGCAGGTTTCTGCAGTCCGTACTACACGCCTGAAATGGTGCTCGCGCATGCGCATTATATTCCGAGAAGAAGAAGAATTTGCAAAAATTATGCAATCATTATGAAGAGGGACTATCCTAGCATAGATTTGTATGATAACATTTTATCAGTAGATCTCACTTAAGAGATAGAAAGAACACTTTTCATCCTTGGTCCTTGCTGCCTATACCTGTCAGTACAAAATCTGGCTACGTTAGTGTGTTAGCACATGCGCTATATCTCACCAGAGGAGTTATTTTTTGTGGGAATTATTTATTTAATATGGTTAGGGGTATCCCAGAATAAATTTCTGTAATAAATTATTATCAGTATACCTGTGTTTATAATTAGGAGAGCGCCCTAGCCTATAGGGTGCAAAACTTCTTCTTCATCCCCTCCTTCCTTTCCATTGCCTTCACTGTCCCTCAGCCCAGCCCGTTAAACGTGTTAAACAGATATATAATCTGCCACGAAATGGTGTAGAGCGTGTGTCTGAATGTCGGTGAACATGTGTAAAACACACGTTACAATGGCAGCAAAACACTCTTCTACAAAACGTACGGTTACACGTTTCCACTTCCACTTCCTTTCCGCGCCTACACTATATTTTAATATTTGGGTAATTGTTTATCAATAATTGATCGTTTGATTGCGCGATCGTATTGATTTGCTGATCACATTTGAAGCTATAAGCGTGCGCAACAAATACACCGCGAGTTTAAAATTTTCCTTGCATTAAAATCAAAATACATTTCAGGGCTTAGCGCTGATACGGACCTGCACTTTGGTCCGGTCTGTTTTCTCTCATCACAGCGTGACACACCCTGTACATGATTCTTCTAATCCTAACACGTCATTGCACGAGTTTTTTTGTATATGTGAATTGCCGGCCTTGGCTGGATCATATATACCTGCTTTGCTATAAGTAAAATATTTACGTGCCAAAATAAAATAATTAAATTTCTGTTATTTTCGCATATGCATGAGCTCTAATGCTATAGGTTATAACGCAGAGCGAGTGCATGCTATGACGTGTTAGGTAAATACGTTTTCGTCGCCCTCGTGTAAACATGGGTGGAGAGAAACCAAACAAGGCACAGTACTCGTTTGTTTTTGCGTGACGTTGCAGTACACGCACACACCTTCTAGGAAGTAGTGAATAATGCGATAACGCGCCGCAGAATCAAATGTTGTAGACTTTGACTCTTTCGCATCGAGTCGTCATCGCTATTCATCTAGAAAGAGCAAGCATAGAAACAAGAGACAAGTACAACACGCATTCATTGCCTACGGGTCATATCAACTATATGTTGTGAAACGTCACGGGATTTAAGGTAAACATAACTAACGTAATCTCTTAGATACATATGATCGGCAGTACCGGAATATGTGTGTGATTCTTTGAATTTTTATTCATAGTTATAAAGCTGCAACATTGAGGGCTTATGCCGTATACCAATCATATCGCATAATGTACGCAAGCGGATATTGGTCCAGGTATATATAGTGACGTGTACAGTGCAAACCAAACAGTATTAATCAAATAAGTACAAGGTATGTGTTTCGCAGTATGCATACCTGTATGCTGGATGGAAAGTTAGGGTGAACAACATTTGAACAGCTAGTGGACGTCGAACGATTAGAAAACGAGTGAGCGAGTTGATTTCGTGTACTTTCCAGACTCAAAGTGGAACGCTTGTGAACGCTTCAGTGTTATTGTATATATATATATTTCACAGAACCCTCATCGAACCAAATTTCCGATTGGCGCTATGCGGATCAAAACATTGCTATGTTGTCTGGCTGTGGTTGTTATGGGACTGGTTGGCCCAGCGCAGTCTGATACTCGATCAGTTAGCTCCAATGTAACGATACCATGGGCGGGAGAACTACCCCAACCAAAACCTTACATAACATACAACAACTACGAGCCTGGAGGATTGAAGGGGCTCTACACAATGGCACGAGGTTGGGCCGGGCTGGTCTCAAAGGAACTCCAATCTGGTGGGTATATATGATAGATTTGTGTTGCTGTAAATGAAAGAAGAATTATTCTACAACTATTCTGATTGAGAACGCATCGCTGGGTGAACGAGGTCATATATTAAATGTTTAGAGTTTATACATTAAATGTTTAGAGTTTATATATTAAATGTTTGGCGTTTATATATATATTAAATGTTTAGAGTTTATACATTAAATGTTTAGAGTTTATATATTAAATGTTTAGAGTTTATACATTAAATGTTTAGAGTTTATATATTAAATGTTTAGAGTTTATACATTAAATGTTTAGAGTTTATACA